CCGCTAAAATGTGTCCAGTCTGACGGACCCAGTGACTGTTTACAATCATTGGACAGACTGAACAACAATGTGTTTTAAACATTAATCTCATAACAATTTTTATTTGTAATTTTGCAGTGTAAATTATTTAATTTGACTGGTAACAGCCCTATAGTGTATATTAAATGTATTGATCAATTTTATTAAAATAGGTCTTTATAAAGGTAAATAAAAAAAAATATGCATATGTGAAAAGCTGATAGAACACTGATGAAAATATTGCTTCAGAATTAATTTACACCACCAAAATCTCAGTGATGCGGTGCTTTTGTGGAGATATTTTGTATGCAATATTGTCTGCTGTTCACTGTATATCGTAATAATAAATAACATTTATGACAGCGACGATATTTTGTTTTCTTTTTACATTAAACACTTTAAATATTAATGTAATGTGTGTTTCCATCACAGGTTTAGGTCTTAAATTTCATATAAGGTGGTATTAAAGAGGTCTAAAAGGTCTTAAATTTAACTTGAAACCCTGTATCTACAGTATATGAAATATGTAATTGTAATTAATGTTAACAATTATAAGGCAACCCAGAGAATGTTCTTTGTGCATACATGTTTATTCGTAAATTTAGAATAAGTTTTAGTATGAAAGCTTTTGATGAATCAGGATTTGTTCATGAAAATGTTTGCATGTACTTTTCTTGCACAATTTTAATCTACTAATGATGATGACTAGTTATTGATTAGTTATGCCATTACTGTGCTTGGTGGACTGAATGGTTTGAATAGTAATTTAATACTGTGTATTGTAAAATAACCATTGAACTCTAAAGGCCTTTTTGCTACAATAAGAGTCTCTATGATCCATCATACAAAGTCCCATAAATAGTTTTTTGTGTAAAAAAAAAAAAAAATCACTGACCAATCATATGCAAGCTTGTGTAAGCACTCTGTTTCTTCTTACATAATAAACAAATTTACAGTCAAATAATATTTTATTGGATACGGGAAGTCATTTTCCATTCTTATGTAGCTTAAAATCAATCATATTGTTTCATGACTTTCAAAAAGAGGGCTTTTATTATGGCCGAATCATCTCAGATTTGATAGCGTAGACTCAGTCTCAGGTAAGTGAAGCTTCACTGCTGGGGTCCCGGTGCTCCTGTGGTAATGGACTCTGTTGTAAGTGCTCTCTGTGGCTCAGCCTGAAGGTCTCCGCTCATTTTCCACTTTATCCAGTAGCTTCTGTATATTGACCACCAGTTTTCTCCTGCGGTCTAGCTGAAGTTAACTAGCTCCAGAGCTTTGGTCACGTTGATGTAATTGTTTGACTGAGCTCAAAGAGTGCTGGAGCAACAGCAGAACTAGAGGAGCAGCGGCCTTAAAGGGTTAGTTCACCCAAAAATGAAAATTAGCTTGTGTTTTATTTACCCTCGAAGCATCCTAGGTGTATATGACTTTCTTCTTTTAAGGCCCCCTATAGCGAATCCATGTGTTTTTTTAAGAAAAATATCCATATTTCAAATGTAATAAACACTTTTCTCTCACTTCCGCTTACTGTCATACACTGAAGCAGTTCGTGCGCGCGCCTCTGAGATATGCTAGTCTCGCGAGTTTGTTTA